AGTGAATGACGACTTCATACTCACTCCGTAGTTGAGTTCGGTCGGCTGTGTCGTAGGCGCGCTCGCGCCGCGCCGAGGGCCGCCCCCGCCGCCCCCGCCGGCGGTCGGGGGGTGGAGGCAGGTCCCGGGCCCTGGGGGCGGCAGGGTCGGAGTCGGAGGCGGGACACTCGCCGGCGGCGGCGTCGGGCAGCACGGCGGCGGCGGCGGCTGCGGCGGTTACTGCGGCGGCGGCGCACCGCACGGCGGCGCGTCGTGGCGACAAGTAAACTCATCACCAGCGAATGGCGTGCTTAGCTTTTTTATTATTCACGGAGGCGCGTCGTGGCGGCAGGTTCCTTCGCATGCCGACTCAGAGTACGGGTGCGGCGGCCAGCAGGCGAGGGGCACCTTCCGCTACCCCCACAGTACCCGAACCCAACCTCCTCTCCCCCCACAGTACTTGAACCCACCTCCCCTCCCCCCACAGCACCCGAACCCACCCTCCCCTACCCCACGGCACCCGAAGCCACCCTCCCCTACCCCACGGCACCCGAACCCACCCTCCCCTCCCCGCAGGCGAGGGGCGCGGCTGGCGGCGGCCAGGCTCGCCATGCCCCTCCGGAGCGGCGCTGGTACTCAGCCGAGGCGCCCACCCAGATCAAGACAGAGCCGCCGGAGCCAGACTGAACGAGCTCAGTGCTCAGTGAGGAATGGCAGTCCCCGCCCAGGCCAAGGGAATCACTACTGGTTAGCCTAGGTCAAGTGAACCATTCACGGCTTCTTGTCGAATGGGCAGGCGCCCGCCTCCTATTCACAGCTCTTCTATTCACAGCTCTTCTATTCACAGCTTCTTGTCGAGTGGGCAGGCGCCCGCCCAGGTCAAGCCGGAGCCACCCAGCCAGACGCCGAGGCAGCAGCAGCAGCGGCGGGCGCCCCAGTGGACGCAGGTGGGGAGACTCCCCTACCCCACGGTACCCGAACCCACCCACGGTACCCGAACCCACTTTCCCCTACCCCGCCGTACCCGAACCCACTTTTCACTACCCCACCATACCCGAATCCACCCTCCCCTACCCCACGGTACCCGAACCCACCCTCCCCTACCCCACGGTACCCGAACCCACCCTCCCCTACCCCCGTGGACGCAGGTGGCGGGGCCGTCGCAGCAAGCGCTCCATCAGAGCCCGCGGCTGCAAGAGGCGACACCGGCCTCCCGGCCGCCTCCTCCTCCTCCGCCTACATGCATGGTGCGCCGAGGCGCGCGCCGGCGGCGGCTACGCGATGATTCCGCTGGTCGATCTCGACGCCGAGGTGCCCTCCGGCCGGTTCATCGCTCCTGATGGACTACGACTTAATTAATCAGGTCGATCTCGACGCCGAGGTGCCTCCGGCCGGTTCATCGCTCCTGATGGACTACGACTTAATTAATCAGGTCGATCTCGACGCCGAGGTGCCTCCGGCCGGTTCATCACTGCTGATGAACTACGACTTAATTAATCAGGTCGATCTCGACGCCGAGGTGCCTCCGGCCGGTTCATCGCTGCTGATGAACTACGACTTAATTAATCAGGTCGATCTCGACGCCGAGGTGCCTCCGGCCGACGACCCGCGGCGGCGCGACTCCGGCCCCTACTATGAGCTGCCCGCCGCCGGCTCTACCTGGCGGCAGATGCCGCCGCCGCAGGCTGCCGCCGCTGCGCAGGCGCTCTCTCGCCTGATCTCGGCAGATCTCGTGCCCTCTCGCGCCATCTCGGGTGATCTCGTGCGATCTGGCAGGCGAGCGGCTCGAGCGGTTGGACCAGGGTGGAGGCGGCGGCGGAGGGGGGCGACGCCCATGCGCAGCAGGAGCGCGCTGCGTATGTGTAGTATAGACAGTGAGTAGCGCACAGTAACGTGTGATGATGTAATAGGAGGGGGGCGACGGCCGGGCGCAGCAGCAGGAGCACGCCGCGGTGGTGGGGTGCCGCCAGCCTAGAAGCGGAATATCTCCCCACATCTCCCCATATCTCGCTGCGGCGGTGGGGTGCCCCAGCCTAGAAGCGGAATATCTCCCCACATCTCCCCATATCTCGCTGCGGCGGTGGGGTGCCCCCGCCTAGAAGCCGCATGAAACACGCACTCGGCCGGGCTCACTGAACCCGCATCCCGCAGACTACCCGAGACTGCAAGAGTTTGCCCGAGCTTGCCCGAGATTACAATCTGAAGGCCCCTCCCCTGCGAGATTGCCCGAGGTTGCAATCTGTAGGTTCCTCACCACGCGCGTGCGGGGCCTCTCGAGCGACCCCGTCCTCGAGGCGACGCTGTCTGTCATGATTTCTCTATCGTAGAGAGAACCTCGCTTAGTTCATCATCAGTTGTCATTATTCCCCGGTCCTCGAGGCGACGCTGTCTGTCATGAATTCTCTATCGTAGAGAGAACCTCGCTTAGTTCATCATCAGTTGTCACTATTCCCCGGTCCTCGAGGCGACGCTGTCTGTCTGTCATGAATTCTCTATCGTAGAGAGAACCTCGCTTAGTTCATCATCAGTTGTCACTATTCCCCGGTCCTCGAGGCGACGCTGTCTGTCTGTCATGAATTCTCTATCGTAGAGAGAACCTCTCTTAGTTCATCATCAGTGATCAAGTATGGCCCGCTCCTCGAGGCGCTCGAGGCGTTGCGGCGGGACGGGATGCTCGCGGTGCCCAATCCATCTGTGCCGTCCCCTCCCATGAAGAACGCATCAGCTAGTCCATGATACTGATCTAGGCGCCTCATCCAGCGGTGTGGGCCCTCGTCGCCGCCGCCGGAGACAGCGGCGCGGCTTTGGTGTGCCTCAGGCGCCGGCTGCAGTTGACAATTAACGATCAACACGCCCCGTCGCAGGCGCGGACTTGGTCGACCTCAAGCACAGGCTGCGCAGCGCGCTTCCCCTCTCGGAAGATGTCGTCCACACAAAGCCCGTCCACTAGATGCGCGCCTAGACTCTCCTAGATTCCTCCTCCCTTCGAGAGTTGTTGATAGCGTGAGCTACGTCAGTAGGGCCCACTGCCTCGCCGCCTTCCCATTAGAAACCTAACTAGCAGACTGACGAACTAGTGAATAAAATAGGCTCGTCCACTGCCAATTAAGTTAATTTAATTAATTAATTAATTAATTAGGCTCGTCCACTACCTCGCCTCCTTCCCGCGCCACTTCGACTGCCGCATCGCCGGCCAGTCCGGCAAGGTCACCGCCAGGGACCCTGCCGTGTCGCCGCCGCCAGACCCGCACGCAGAGCACTCGCAAGAGGCGCCGTCGCCGGAACGGCGGGAGCCGCCGCCCCCGCAGCCGCAGCCCCCGCAGCCGCAGCCGCCGCAGCCGCAGCCGCAGCCGCCGTCCTCGCGCCCACCGCCCGCCGCCCCGCCGCCGCCCGCCCCGCCCGCGGCCGATCCTCCTCCGCCGGCAGGGGCGGCGGCGCCGCCGCCGCTCTCGCGCGGGGACCGTGGTGTCCGGCGCGGGGAGCGAGGTGCAGTCCGGCGTGGCGACCGTGCAGCCGCTGCAGCCACCCCCGCCTTGCGCGCCGCGGCGAGGGCGACGCTCGCGGCGGCGTCGGCGGCGTCGATCAGAGTGGAGTGCTCAGGAGGCACGTCGCTGGTGGACGTCGTTGGGTTTGGGGCGGAGCGGCGAGTGCGCGAGAAGAAGCAGAAGCGGCACCCAGAGGGGGCGGGTCCTGCCGGCGGTCTCACCCAGAGCGGCCTTGCCCCGGCCGGCCCGGCGCGGCCCGGCGTCGCGGGGATCCAAAGCGCGTGGCGGCAGCTGCCCCCGCCGCCGGCAGCTGCACCGCCCTTACCGCCCCAGCCCTTACCGCCCCAGCCCTTTGCAACGCAGCCGCCTCCGCCGCGGCCGTTTCTGCAGCCGCCGCAGCAGCACATGCAGCCGCTGCCGCAGCAGCAGCCGATGCCGCCGCTGCCGCAGCCGCCGTTGCCGCAGCAGCAGCAGCAGCAGCAGCAGCAGCGGCAGCAGCAGCAGCAGCAGCAGCAGCAGCAGCAGCAGCAGCAGCAGCAGCGGCAGCAGCAGCAGCAGCAGCAGCAGCAGCAGTGGGCACAACAGCAGCAGCAGCAGCAGCAGCGGCAGCAGCAGCAACAGCAGCAGTGGGCACAACAGCAGCAGCAGCAGCAGCAGCGGCCGCAAATGCCACGGGTGCCGCCGTTTTCGCAGCAGATGCAGCACCCGCACCAGCAGCAGCAACAGATGATGCAGGCGCAGATGCAGCAACCGATGCCGCCGCCGATGCAGCAGACGCGGTCACCGCATCGCCCACCGCCGCCGCACCCGCACCAGATGCCGTTCCGCGGCGGGGCGCCAACTCCCGCGTCATCTAGTGCAATCTCGCGTGATCTCGTGCCCATCAGCCGCTCGGTGCGCGGCGGGGCGCTTGCGGCCGGCCCGCACGGGTGGGGCAAGCACCGGGCCCTGGTCGAACCACCAGCTAGCCTCCTCCCACCGGCTGATTCATCATCACATAGGGTGGGCGCACCCGGGGCGGCATTCCCCAGCCACCCGCTCCAGGCAAGGCCGCCGCCACCGCAGCGGCCGCCGCCGCCGCAGCGGCCGCCGCCGCCGCAGCAGCCGCTCGGGCAGACGCCTCTTTTGCGCGGCGGCGGTGGCCCCGCGATCGGCTTGCACGGCTTGTGGGTGTGAACGGCGTCTCTTCACAGCTGCAGCTGTGAACAGGCGGCGGCCCCTCGATCGGTTTGCACGGCCGGCCGGGAGCAGCGCCGCCGCCCGCCGCCTTTCACGGCGCCTTTCACGGCAGCCCGCCCGTCGGCCCCACAGTGCCTCTGCCGCCGCGTCCGCTGAGTGGGCAGCACGGGCCGGGGTGGCACGGCGGTGGACAGCCACCACCCGGCGCGGGGCACGGCGCGATGCTTGGAGGCACGAACTCGACGTGGCTTTCGCCGGGCAAGCACCCGGTCTCTGCGCTGTTTGAGTTTGCGCAGGCCGTTGGGTTGCGGCCTCCGCCCCTCTTCGAGGCGGCGAGGAGCGCCCACACCTTTCTTCTCGGAACCTTCTCGGAACCCTCTCGGAACTTTCCCTGCAGGCGGCGAGGAGCGCCCCCCCTCTCCCTGGGGGGCGGGCTGGCATGTCCGTCACCGTGCGCGCTGCAGGGCGCGAGGCGACGGCGGCGGCGCCCGACGCGAAGTTGGCGCGGGCCGGGGCGGCGCACGCCCTGCTGCGCATGCTGTGTCCCCGGTACAACGCCGCCTGCCAGCTCCGGCCGCCTCCGCATACTGCGTGCGGCGCGAGCTGTGAACCGCGTCTCATCACACTTCTAGCTGTGAATAGGCCGCTTCCGCCTGCTGCGTGCGGCGCGAGCTCTCTATGCGCGGACGCGCCGCGCTAAACGTTCCTTTCGCCTCCACGCGGTGCTTTCTTTCTTCTTCTGTAGGCGGCGCAGTTGCGCACTCCACGCCCGCACGCGCTCCCGCACCCGCACCCGCACCCGCACCCGCTGGCTACTTTGGCGCCGCGCCGGAGCTGCAGGCGCCGGCGCGGCCGATCATCTGCGGCGGACCGGGCGCGATCGTGGCCGCCACCGCCGTCGCCGCCGCAGCGAGCGTGCTTTCTCCTCGGGCGACACCGGCCCCGCCGGAGGAGCTGGAGGACGGAGAGCTTCCGGAGTGACGTGGGCGGCGCGGAGGCAGGGGTGGTGTTTGCGGCACAGCGTGGACCGTGGGTCCGTGGGCGGTGCGCCGCGGGGGGCTTTCGCCGCCTCACGCCGGGCGTTTGTGTCACTGCTGTCGCGTCCGGTCTGAACTCTGGCAAAACGAGAAAGAACGCGGCGCCGGGGGCGGCGGGAGCGACCAGTGCTATTACGCATTTTTTTTTGCGAGCCCCAGCGATTCCAACTCTGGCTCAAGCTCTAGAGGACCCTATAGGTTTTCTCTAAGTCTCGCTCCGCGCGAGGCGGACAAAACCTCCCTGCCTTCGGGCACCTTCCCAATGTCGCGCAGCGAACCAACCTCGCCGAAGCGCTCCCGCACCGACGAGACGGCCGGCGTCGGCTATCCGACGGGCATCTTCAAGGCGCGCGCGCCCGCAGTGCACGCGTGCCGCGCACACGACAAAAAGCGCCTGTGCACAGACCAAATACACAGCTCCACCAGAGCCCACCTACACTCCGACGCCCGCCAATGCCCTCACCGAACAGACCCCAAGATGACGACCGACACGCGGTAGAGGAAACAGCCGCGGTGAGACAAAAGAGAGAAGCCCTGCTCTCTCTCTCTCTCTCTCGCTCGCTCGCTCGCTTGCTGCACTGCACACGCACCACGCACCCACGCGCCCGCGACGCTCCGCGAGCCCGATTCGAACCCAGGCCCAGCCACCCAAAACCGAGCCCCGAACCGCCGCGCCACGCGGCTCTTCTACAAACCTCACTCCTGGCAACTCATATACTTTCCACCCTGCATGTGTCAGGACATGAATCTCGACGTCCCCGACACGCCCTTCAAGGAGAAGATGCTGGTGATGAAGACCGGCAACGGCATCAACGCCGAGCACGTCGCCACGATCGTCTCGGCGATGTTCATCGAGGCGGGCCACGACGAGTTCGAGCACAAGCTCATGCTGCAGCATGGCAGGAACTCCACTTTCTACCTTCTCGGCGACCTCCCGGACGGATTTACGTTTGAGTCCATGGCCTCCTCCATCGCCACCATCAGGGCCACGACGACGATCAACTCCTACTTCGTCGAGAAGTTCCTGGGAGGCGGACAGCCAAACCACTTGCCCCTCGGTTTCTTTTCTTCCCTCATCACCCCCCCTCTCTCCCCCCCCCCCCCCTCCCTCCCCGCAGGGGACCCCAACGACATCCCGGACGGCGGCACGATCGTCTTCTCGGTCGCCGACGTCGACGACGCCGTGGACGACTCGGTCCCCGTCAAGATCGACCGAAACAAGCCCGACCCCTACGACCTCCACCTTCGCCTGTCCGCCCCACCCCAGCCGGGCGCCCTTCTCGGGTCCATCGACGAGGGCGAGGTCCACAACGCGCTCGTGAGCCAGTTCAAGGTGCCGCGCGGCTGCTCGCTCGGGATCGCCAACCTGCGCAAGAACGTGATCAAGGCGTTCGGAGGCGAGGCCCTGCAGCTTTCCTCCCAGACGTACTACTGCGAGATCCACGTCGACCGCGGCGGCGTCAAACAGGAACGCCCATACCCTTCACCTACTAAGACTCTCAATCCGCCACACCCACAAAAATCCGAATCACACCATACCCACACATCCCCTACTCACAACGTACCAAATCCACGCGCAGGACCCCATCGCCATCGCAAAGCCCTCCAAGATGATCACGACGGGCTGCGGCGCCAAGCTCATGGTCGAGATCCTCCCGCAGATCCGGGCAAGGTGCGCCCCCGCCGTCAAATGGGCCATGGACCAGTCGAAATCCTCGGAGGAGGGGACGCTGATCTACTTCGAGCGCGTCTCCGCCCCAGGCCAAGGCGAGTCCTACCAGTCCGTGAGCGAGTCCCTGAATAAGGGGCTGTACGCCCTCTGCGAGCACTACGGCATCGCGATGGCCTACCGCAACGGCGTCCAGCTCGACAGGACGAAGACCTACTTCGGCTTCCACAACGAGGTTTCTTTTTCTGCGCTACCCCCCCCCCCTCTACCCTCCCAACTCACCACACTCCCAACACCCACCACCGCATGCAGCTCCAGAAGAACGCCTTTGTGGACGCCTTCAACACCAACCCCAAGGGCATCCCACAGATCAAGCTGAACCACCTCGGGACGATCTTCGTCGACAAGAACGGGTACGACTGGAAGGTCGGCTTCACCAACAAGAACATGGCCATTTTTTGCGACAAGTGCTTCAAGCTGACCCCGCGGACCTCGTACTGCAAGCCCGTCAAGGACCGCATCATCCACCTCCAGCAGGCAGCTCCAACCCAAAAAGAAAAACACCCTCCCCCAAATAAAGAAAAACACTCCGACCCCTCCCCCCCTGCGTGCACATGGGAGTGAGAGCTCTCATTCATGGTCGCGAGACCAGGGGAAGCCACAACGGGGAACGGGCACACCAAGGCACTAACTTCATCACTCATTCGCCCCGCATTAGGTAGCGACCCCAGGTTCAGAGCTAGGCTGCCCGACAGGGCAGGGAACCCCCAGCGCGCAGGCGGGGCCCACGGTAGCCTCGTGCAGTACGCGATACCGAGAGCTGGGGGGTGAGGCGCGCCCACGCCAAGGGGGAGAGAATGGAGGGGGGAGACTATGCGTGCTCGTTTTTCTTCTAAAGCAATTTTTTTTTTCTAGAGGACCCTACTACGGGTCCGACCTAAGAACGCAATGTCCTAATGTAGCTCACGCAAGGGTGGCCCGGCATTGGAAGCAAGCCCGTCTGGCTGGCTTGGCGCGTCCATGAGCACTCCGCTAGCCGCGCGCTCTCGATGTCAAACCCTCGTGGCACCTCGGGCAAGAGACGCAGCGCCCAGATGCGCTGCACCGTCGGCGAGGCCTCGAGCCGCGCCACGATCCGTCTATTAAGCCTCTCGTCAAAGCACAGGTTGGAGAGCCAGACCGCGGTTGCCGTCTCGAGCATTCTCGCGGCCTCGTCCCCAGCGGCGTCTCCACACAGAAAGGTCGTGCGGCGTGCTACGCGGGGTTCGCAGGCGGCCCTTTGGGCGAGCGCCAGCCCATGTCTAGTGGGACTCAGCTCGACGCCCGCCGCGCTATCGACGCCAAGCTCACGCACGGCCTGCATCACCAGCTTCCCAGTGCCGCTGCCGAGATCGACAAATTTGTCACTCTCACCCAAGTCGCCGAAGAGCTGCCGAAACCCAATTGACGTCAGCTCGCCGTAGGTTGTAGCCTGCGGTCCGCCCGCCGCCTCTATGCTCACCGCTTCGTCGGGCCCGATCGCGGCCATCGTCGGCGGAGTCGACAGCCGCGGAGCTAAGCTCACTAAGAGGTACATCACCCAGGTGTAGAGCCAAGAGCTCGTCCGCGCAAAAAAAAGAAAAACTCGCGCGCACGACACCGGAGATAGTGCAGTGTGGACGGAGTTGCGCCGAGAGGCGAAAGAAGCCGCGAGAACAAGGGACCGGCAGGCGGCGGCGTCGCAGGACGAGGCAGAAGAGAACGACGCGACAGAGGAGGAAGTGACAAGGGAGAGAACGACGAGAGTGGGACAGCCGCGAGGTGGCATGAAGGTTGCAGCGAGAAGCGGCGAGAGACTGCGAAAAGAGATACGAGGAGGCAGACCCCCCAGGGTGGGCGACGGCTAGCGCATCGCACACCCTCCTCTCCTTAAAATCCCTGTGTGGTGGCGGCGTGCCGTTCTCCCATCCCTCCCTTGGGTTGTGTGTTTTCTTTCTTTCTTTCTTTCAGTGCAGTGTGGAGATTCGCATTGAGTGCAGTCAGGGCAGTCAGAGACGTATATGATTATGAATCTGATATCCGGACGTCATGAAGTTGCCAACTTTAGATTTTGTGGAGGGAGGAGGTGGAGCCGACCCCGGCCGCCATCGCGGAAAAAAAGAAAAAGTGGTGCCGAAAGAATTACACCGGTCGAATTTTACGATAAAGCTCCCTCCTCGCGTGGGCGGCTGGGAGGAGGACAGACCTGTCCACTTTGCATCGTGGGTTCACAGAAAGAAGGTGGTGTACCTGTGTTAGAGTTTGTCCTGTGTTAGTGCCAGTGCGAGCCAGTCCCGTAAAGAAAGAAAGAAAGAAAACAGACAACCCAAGGGAGGGATGCGGATGGGAGGACGGCACGCCGCCACCACACAGGGATTTTAAGGAGAGGTGTGTGATGCGCTAGCCGTCGCCCACCCTAGCGCCCACCCTAGGGAGTCTGCCTCTTCCTATCTCTCTTCGCAGTCTCTCGCCGCTTCTCGCTGCAGCCTTCATGCCACCTCGCGGTCGTCCCACTCTCGTCGTTCTCTCCCTCTTGTCATTTCCTCCTCTGTCGCGTCGTTCTCTTCTGCGTCGTCCTGCGACGCCGCCGCCTGCCGGTCCCTTGTTCTCGCGGCTTCTTTCGCCTTTTTCGGCGCAACTCCGTCCGAGAGAGAGAGAGAATTCTTGATACGAAACCACGACGACACACACCAGTCGACTCGCATCGGTTGCCTCCATGAACGGCGGAGCTATTCTCGCGTCCACACCACACCTGGCTCCAACGTGGACACGCCCATAGCTGGGGACACTACTAGGTCACGCATGGCATCAGAAGTTTTATCTCTGGGCCCCGAAAGGCATCTCTAGCAGCGTCGTTACGCATGCGCCCTCCCCTCCTGGGCGCATACGCCTCACGTCTCGACAGAGCATAAGCCCTTGGTGTGCCACGAGACGAGTTTTTCGCCATCGCCGCGAGCAGCAAGCCGCCCGCCGCAAACAGCCGGAGGCATCGCCGCAGCACTGTCTGCGCTGCGCTCCCGCACCCGTCGACGAAGCTCCCCCCGCGGAAGACCGCGCGTAGCGACGCCTTGTCGTTCGAGATGAGCGCGCTTGAAGCCCGCCCACCTACTGCCCCTGAGAGTTGGTTACCGAGTGGGATCAGCTCCCCCCCTTGGGATCGAAGCTTCCACGACCTCGCACCCAACACCACAGGCGGGATCAGAGAGAGACTCCGCACCGGACACCGCCCGGGCACAGACCCCCTACCCGTCGGACAATGCCTGGACCCCTCACAGAGCGGCCCACACACAGATCACGCATCGGCAGATTTGACTCTCTCTCTCTCTCTCTCTCTCTCACTCCGTCCTCCTCGCGGCGTATCCTGGCCCCTCGAGTCTATCGAGCTCCCCTCGCGCAAGGACCACATTTCTGACTCCCACTCCGATCATTTGCCTCCAGGTCATGTTGTTGCTCAGCCAGTCCCGTGCCGACGCGCATTGTAATTCTTTTCTTTCGGAGTCTTGATTTGAGCTGCGGCAACAGCAGGTAGCAGCGCCCCAGGCCTCCTCCTCCTCCCCGGCGGCGATCGTACCATCGCCGCCGGCCGGCAGCGCGGGCACCAAGGGCGAGACTTGATATACAGCATGGGTCTGCTGGTGCGGCTGAAGCAGCTGCTCCAACGATTGCGACGGGGGTCGACGCAGGAAAAGCCCGGCACCGCAGTCAGTCTAACCATGCTCAAGCTTCGGGACGGCGCGTCGCTAATCGACACCGCCACAGTGGAACACCTTATGCAGACCAAGATGCGGCATCATCACAACGGAGACATCCTCCGGTCTGACATCTTCGAGGCGGACGCATTTAGCGCTGCTGCTACGACTGGACCCATTGTGCGCATCGAGTACTCATCCATGAGTGCGCTATCCGGCAACTACAGAATTGAAAAGTTGCTCCTCGATGACTTCGAGGCGAACTGCCACACAGCCGGCGTAGGCGACTGCAGGGGGCCATGCCTGTTCGGAACACGCGAGGAGTTCATCGGCACCATCGTATATTCGGCGCCGGGGAACGGTGTTCGAGGCTTCGAGGCGAGATGCTGCGCAATCCTTGCGACGATCAAGCGGCGTTCTGAAGCGCGGCTGCTACAGCTCGTCAACTCGGAACAGCCTGACCCGTTTGGGATCGTCATACGAGACATCGTCTTCTCACACCCGCGGCGCTGCAGCTGCTTCTCGGCATCCAGCACCCTGGTCGTCATAAGTGTGGTGTTCGGCTCGCGAGAGCTCGAGCTGGAGGACATCGTGCCGCGCGAGGCCACGGACGCCGGCGAGGACCGAGGGAGTTCCGTCAAGTCTGCCTCGCTCCGCACCACGCCACGCGCGACAGGCCTGCACGACGCGTGGGTCGACTCCCTTCTCGAGAAGGCCCGCGCCGCGGAGATCTGGGAGGCGAAGCCAGAGGTGCTTCAGGGTGGCCTGACGTTGGGCTTCAAGCCGCGGGGTCCTCCTTCCCTCCTCCCACCGTCTTATCTGAACAGGTTCCGGGACGCACAAAGGGCGGTCGTGCGGAAAACCACGCAGCACCGCATGTCGGCCGACGACGTCTGGGTGGCCAACCAGCACGCAAGGTCGCGGAAAAGGCGGCCCTCGTCGGAGCAAAGATCGGGGCGGCACACACACTGACGACACGGGCGGGTCCGATTGCGGTTGAGCAGTCGAGTCGGGCCCGTGCCAGCTCCGACCCCGCGTCGTCGGCCCTAGGCAGCAGCGCCGGCCTCTCTCCGCCTCTAGTCTCGAGCCTTGCGCTTGCGTTTTAGTGTTTACCTTCCCGGTTGGGTGTCGGCCTCTAACGGCTGGTCGTTTGCCGCGCCGTGTGCGCGCCCCGGCGTGGAGTGTGCCAGTCTGTCGCCCCGGAGTGCTGCGCAACTCGCCTACGTTATGATGTATCTTACAGTATTCCGCGCGGGGCCCCTGGGAACGGCTGACTGTGAACAGGCACTACTTCTACACAAGCCGCACACGCTTTACCCCTTACTTTGGCGGTCGTGAAGTCCGCGAGGCAAAGTCGACCGCCGCCTGCTGGCGCGGCGCCTTATGTTATTAACTTATGACCGAGGCAAAAGAGATAGCTCCGAGCGAGCAGCCAGAGTCTCGCCAACCATAGCCCTTAGCCGCCAAAGACCGCCAACCATAGCCCTTAGGCGACTTCCAATTACAAAAAAAGTAAGCAGAGTCCTCCTACGGGAATGTACGTAAGAGCCACATACAGATACACTGAGAGAGAGAGAGAGTGACAACCCCCTCTCTGCTCTCTCTTTTCTCCCAGTAAGCTAAAGTTTTTACGTACACTGAGAGAGAGAGAATTTTACAACAAAGCTCCCTCGCACAACACTGGGCACGGGACTGGCGCGCACTGGCACTAACACAGGTACACCACGGGAGCCACCTAAGCGACTCCTGCGAGGGGAGAGAGAGAAAAACGAAGTCCACGCGCTTTGACGTGTCACGAGTTCGCGCGTCCCGAGGACCCGAGCGCTGCCGTGGAACAACATATGTGGCTGCCGAGCCACGACGCACGCTGCGGCCATGCGACGAGCTGCTGCGTTGCGACGGAATCAAATCTCACCGTAGCAGGCGACACCTTTTTGCCGCCTCACCAACTCGATACTCGTGACCCTGGCCGCCTCGGCTCCGCTCTCTTTGCACATCCGCAGCCTTGCGAAGCTAGCGCGCGGTGCTTGCTTCTTGACCCACCCCGCTCCTGCCAATGCAGAGTTTCCGCGTCGAACGTCGGTGAAGCTACCCCGAGGCCCACAGATCCGCATCATGAGGGCGGAGGCTCCTATGCACAAGACCTTTGGGCTCGACTACATCTTCGAGCCGCTCACCGCGAGTCTGCTGCGAGGTTTCCGCGCTGTGGCGACAGGGTGCCACGCTTAACGCGCACGGATGCTTAATGCACACGCACGCACGCACGCATGCGCGCGTGCGATGGTCCGACTGACTCTTCTTGATCATGAGAGCTCTTCGCGCCTCTTAGCGCCTTGGCGCTTCGCCCTCTCGTAGGTACGAAGTCATCGCTTCGACGACGTATATTCAGTACTGGAAGACCAGCGACTGGCAGTACGCCTTTATGCGGCCCTTCGTAGAATCGTTCCAGCGGGGTGACGTGCTGCTCTTCATGGTGAGATCCCTGGGGTCACCCGAGATCACCCGAGGCTTTCGGTCGTACAATCGGCCGGTTGCTCATCTGGTGCGGGTTTCCCGACGCTCCACGCGTTGCATGGCATCGGATGCGTGTCTCAAAGGCGCTTGAGGGCCCGCGCGACGACTCTTTCACCCATGATGCCTCCATCATCGGGGATTCTGCTCCTCACGGCGTTCGCGGCGTTCAGCTTGACAGCGCGGGATGCGCGGCTGGCCTTTGGATGCCAATTGCCAAGCGCCAAGGCGGCGGCAGTGGCATCAGCGAGGGAGACAGCAGCAGTGCTGCTGCTTCCGACGCCGGCAGGGGGGGCACCGCTCGCAAACG